CTTAGAAAACATTACTGTCTCTACTGAAATGAAAAGTATCAAGTCTGCTGGCAGTGCATCATACAGTACTGTCGACACCGGCCACTTTTAAGGCTCAGAGAATATGTCTTCAAAAGGTATTTTCACCCAATCTCAGCAAACACTGAGCATTTCAAATAAATCATGGAATGCTAATCAAATGAAAAGTACCAAACCTTTGATACCAGGGCAGTTTGCTAATTACTAAACCATAGAACAACTAGGAGATACATAAACGAGCCTCCCTGACATCTGAGAGTATTAATACGCCTACAAGTAGCAGTCCTACTGTCAGCACACTGGCCTGGACATTTTACTGCATTATTAACACTGGGAATGATGAAGTGCTTTCCATTCAACTGATTACTTTCTTGAACAATGTCTTGTAAATTCTCAACTCACTGTGGAGTGCCAGCTCGTTCTTGTTTGTCCCTTTGAAAATGATCCATTAGGTTGTCAGAAAAGTCATGACGTATTGTTTTCTGTTTTTTGTTGTAAAAATGTGTCATGACTTTTTCGACAACCCAATAGTTAGTGCTTGACCTGGTGAATGGAGTGTCTCAGGTAAGAGGAGAGAAGTTTATATATAGGTATTGATGATATGGATAGACATAACAAATCCTCTTTTCTTAAAAAAAAATACTGTGGTAATCATCTTTCAGTATCGTATGTCCACATGCATTAAAGAAAGCATACTAGTTATCATGGCATCTATCTGTTAAGATTACTAACTAAAATTTATAACAAACTAAATTTCACATTAAATACTGCCACATGGCTTGGAAAAGTTTCCTTTTCTGTAAAAGGAAGATGGCAGAAACATTAAGCTTATAACTCCAATTTCTAACTACTGACAGTGATAGCCTCTCATTTTTTTCCTTTAGCTCTTCTTCCATCAAGGCTATGGCAATATAGTAAAAATAAGCACAAAAATTAATGGATAAACCAAAATAAAAACAAACTTCATTAGCAATTAATGGCTTGGAAACAGGTATTTTGGAAAATATCACAATGTACAAAAATTGGTTAGCACATGTAGGAATTGATGTGTGCTTAGAGAATAAGTTTGGGTTCAAAAAAGTTAAGTCCTTCAATGCAAAGTAGGTTATCTGATCCTTACATAAAGACAGAAGGTTTTTTTTTCTTCTCTAATTTAATCTTATTTAAAATACCGCTGTTCATCATTCGCAAATTAAACACTGACAGGCTCAGAGCAGACAATCAGCATAACGAACACCTCTTCCACAACAAACATTCCTCACGCTGTTTGGATCCTATCCTACAACCTTGTTCTAGCAGCTCCGCCAGGAAACACTGCTAAGATGCTGAAGTTTTTGCCAACAAACTTCCAAGAGAGGCTGAGACCCCTGGCACAGAAATCCCAGCTGAGGCCCAGGTAGGATTCGCGAGCCTAAGACTACTTGCTTTATCAAGAACTGTCAACACACCAGAGGGAATCTGTACAAAGACATCCTCTTCATCTCTCTCAAATACGGTATTCATTTTCCATTGCTGCATAACAGATCACTCCACATTCAGGAACAAAACCTTTCATGTCATGGAAGTCCAGGCGGCTTGACAGTTCTCTGCTCAGGGTCTCAGGCTGGAATGAAGGTGCTGGTGGGGCTGCGCTCATCTGCTGGAGAAGCCACTTGCCACCTTTCAGGCTGCTGGCTTGTGGCTGTGGGACTGTGGGTCCTATTCTCTCAGAGGCCAGTTGAGGTGGCCCTCGGCTCCTTAAGGCCATCTGCATATCTTCTCACGTGGCTGCCTCCATCTTAAACCAGCAATGGTGCCTTGAATCCTGCTTTGAATCTGACTTCCCCTACCAGCTTGAGAAAACTGTTTTGGGCTCACGTGATTAGATTAGCTCCCCCCAGGTAACCTCGCTGTATAACACGATTAGGGATGATACTCCCAGGTTCCACCCACACTCTCAGGAGACACACAAGGTCATCGGGTCATTCACAGAATTCTGGCTACTCTAAATATACACTATTAATTAGAGCGATCTCTACAAACATGCTCTTCCATGAAACCAAACTCATCTTTGGGACAGCACTATTGGGAGACAACTTCTTTCATTATTATGACATTTAAAAGCAGCCCTTTAAAAGTTTTAAAAATAACAACTAATTATTTACTGGTGCAACCACTGATTTGAAAAGCCATTCGCTTGTTCAAAGACAAATTCAATACTTGTCTGTAGTAAACACATGCCCGCGTGCTAAATAATCGGTTTGCACGTGCTTTTCCCAAAGTTTTTCAATCTCACTACCTTGCATCGTTGCTCTTTTTGTCTACAGAGTGTGGTACAGGGCATGCTGCAAAGAACAAAGGAGACTTATAACAAAAACCCAGAATCTTTGATCTTGGAATCCTAGAAATACTTCAACCTTCTCTCCTAAAATACTCACCATCTGCATTATGATATATTTTGTGTGTCTGCTTTTAACCTAATAATGTGAATTCATTATTCTGGTTTCCAAAATGTTCCTATTAGCACTCCTGACCCAGTGCTGGCCAAAGTTCTTTCTGCAGTGATGGGAAATGCTAGAGCTGTGCTGTCCAACCCAGTGGCCACAAGCCACACGTGGCTATTGGGCACTTGAGCTGTAGCTAGTGTAAGGGAAGAGCTGTTTTATTAAGTTTGAAGAGCCACCATGTATCTGGTGGCTACCACACAGGACAGCACACACCAGATGCCATGCCATGCCTCACTTATCTGTACAGTAGTACTACCATCTGACACTTTTCCCCACTCACTATTTTGGTAAAAGTGGGTCAGTGTCTTCTCAAGGTCAAGAATTTACTCTCAGCTCCAGGACTCTTCACCTCTGACCTGTCCTGACACCTCATCCCTAACGCAACACTTACGGGCCACCACTATAATTTCTTGCTTGAGGAAAACATGCTGCTCCTAATTGTCTAGTGCAGAGCTCCGGGAGAAGAGAGGGCAACTGACAATGAGACTGCACAGCTGCTGCTGCACAGGACAGATGGGAACATGCGCTACAGGCTTGCCCTCGGGAACCTGAATTTTGGTCAGAAAACACATGCGCATGCATGCTCCATAAACAAAACCTCTAGAGCTGAGTGTGTGTGAGCGCGTGAACATGCATGCGCGCATATGTGTGTATCAGGGACATTAGCTAAAGGGAGTTAAGAAAAGGGGTTCCCTCATCCTGACACCGCCTGCCCCCTGCCCTGTGCAGGGCACTACTGCAGGCACTAGCGGGCACTGGTAGCAAGTTCATGGCAAGGGGTGCACAAGGAGTCCTTGAAAGATGGACGAGATCTGGCTAAAAGTGTTGTCAGGAGCAGGCGGGGTGAGCTGAGCCTGGGAGGAAACAGGAAAGCGGGAAACAGCTCAGCCTAAAGACCTAGGTGCCCTGATGGATAAGGGGCTGCAGTAACTGTCACCTCCCTGGGTTTTCAGAGCATGGTCTTCCTGAAAGCAGACTTGGCCACTTAGGAAGTGGGGACTTCTAAACCCACCTGTAGATTTCTACCTCCTGATACGTAGTTGTTAAGCAGTAGTTTAGTATGTTATCTGGTGCCAAAATTCTATGAAACGTTAACTTTCAAATGAAATCTACCTATAGGCCCTGGGCCAAGGGAATTTGAGAAGAAAACAAGCAGTAAAGAAAATGAAAAATAAATGTAAATACCCCAATAAACTAACAAGTTTGACATAAAAATCATTATTGGCAATGTGACTTTTTTAATCCAGAAAACTAACTAAAAATTATTCCAATATGGAGTAATGGAAATAACTGTACCCCATCAGTGATTCCCAGCCTTTGTCACCTAACACTGCACAGAAAGAAATGCCGTCTGGAAGCCATTGCTCAGCACAGGTAGCCAGGTGAGGCTCCTCCAGGCTGATGGCAGCTGGCTGGAGCTTCCAGTCGCTGCAAGATCAATCTCCTTGCATCTGTCACCCACCGCAACCCACCCGACGCACGCCAGACTGGCTGGGAACTGACGTTGGTAATTCAGAACTTTTTAAAAGTAAAATGCTTTTGTAAAGATCACTGCTGAGGCTGATAATATTTTTGTTTATAGTAGTAATATTTGGAATTGCATGTTTAAGAGTACTACTCTAGGAATTTACTTGTAAGTTCTAATGCAATAGAATAAATCATTTAGGAAAAACATACAACTGCTACAATACCTTTCACCAAAAACCAATATATTACAATTTTGTTTTTCTTTATAATCAAACTAGTTATGACTCATACAGTAGCATTATGTAGAAAACACTTTGCCAGAACTCATAAAATGAGTGCAGAAATATAACAATTTACAGGAAGAGACAATGCCTCTAACTCATGGATTAAAGACAAAGATTAAAAAAGAAGAGTTTGTTATCTTACATATCAGAGGAATGTAACGAGTTAAGTCTATGATAATTGGGGTTGAATGCCTCACCCCTGGATGTTAAAATTGATCTGACTGATTTTCTGTGGCCATATACCATACACAGTACAGTAAAATAAGCCTCAAGAAGGACACTGGTCTTTAAAATCTTGGCTTGCAGGAATGGCAAATGCCTTTGAAAATATTTTGTTCAGAATCGGTGATTACAGTAGTCCCTCCCTTACCCACAGGGAACACGTTCCAAGACCTCCAGTGGATGCCTGAAACCACAGATAGTACTGAACCCTATTATACACACTATGTTTTTTCCTACACATACATACCTATGATAAAGTTTAATTTATAAATTAGGCCCGGGAAGAGATGAACAAACATAATAAAATAGAATTATAATAGACTAATAAAAGTTACGTGAATGTGGTCTCCTTTTCTCAAAGTATCTTATTGTACTGTATTCACCCTTCTTGTGATGTGAGGTGATACAATGCCTATGTGATGAGATGAAGTGAGGCAGATACACGACACAAAGGGATGATTCATATCCCGGGCAGGACAGAGTAGGATGGTACGAGATTTCATCACACTACTCAGAACAGTAGTGCAATTTAAAACTTATGAATTGTTTATTTCTGGAATTTTCCACTTAGTATTTTTGGACCACAGCTGACTGTGGGTAACTAAAACTGTGTAAAGCGAAACCACAGGTGTGTGGGGGGGGACTACTGTAAAAAAGTACTTCATTTAGGAAATCAATCTAGAATCACTCTTAAATGGCAGTGCAATTTGAAAAATGGCATTAATTTGTAATGTCTGCATTTCCAAAGAAAAATATAGAAAGAACTTAAAAAAGCAAGGTAATTGGTTTTCAAAAAAAGTATTGATTCAAAAATTTACTGCACAAAAATACGTACTTTTTAAGTGTTTCTAATAAATTAACTCCATAACATTTTCATGTATATTTATATATATATATATATATATATATAATCCCTGATAATCTATAAAAGAGGGTCTATAATAGTAAAATAAATGAATTTCAAAAGTACCCCCTTCATAAAATGTTTTTAACATTAGTTTTTCTCAAACGTAAGGAATGTAACAATATGTACAACTCTTATGTATTAGTATAATACCAAAATAGTACAAGTCATATTAACAGGCTGTTGTAACTGTAAAATGTTTGGGTCAAGTTAAAATTGGAGGACAGCTTAGGTTCAAATGAATACAATTATCCATGGGCGATTCACTTTCCGAGTGGAAATGACAATCATCTACAGTAGATTTCACAAGAGGTAGTGTTCAAGTAAAAAAAAAAAAAAAATTACATGCTTCACCATGTTTAATCAATAAATTTACAGGAAAAAAATGTGTTGTTTTCTTAGGAGATGATCAGTTGGCGACTTTTTTAATATGAATCTGAAATACAAAATTGTGAAGACTACAATAAGACAATTTTCAATTCCAAAAAGGCCTTAAATATGAAATCAAAATGCAAAAAAATGTAGAACCTAAGCTGTTTCACTGATGTGATATATCATCTTACCTCATTAAGAATGGCCCAAACAGCAGAGTTCTGAATAACTGTAAGTCGAAAGGCTGCAATGGGGTTTAGGCTGGGATCCACCATTCCTTCAGCAACACCGTTCTCAAATTTCCCTTCAAAATAAAAACCAACACTTGTTGGGGGTACGAGAACAAGCACACATCAAACATCACTGACTTAGCAGGAAAGGAAATCACCGAAATACTGGGGCTGCCAAAAAAATGGATACACATTTTAAGAGATGTTATCTATATGTTACTTTTCAAAGTTGAATTGAATTATAGTAGCAATGTGTAGTATGATGTTTGTTCAAAAGATGGCATTAATCAAATGAATGCGACAGGCAGGACAGTCAAAGAAAATGATGGAAATACAGTTGTCATTTGAGAAGCTCAAGACCATTTTGAAGTGGTATTTTAAATTTGAGAATGTTGTGGAAGTACAACAATGGAGACGTGAGTATGCAACAGAACCTCCAACATGCCTAACAACTGCATGCATTTGTGATAAGTCTGAGACGCATGGTACTGTGTGTGATGTGCACAAGAGAAGATCCAGGAGGCCTCACACAGCAACAAGTCCTGCTGCTTCTGCTATGATGTTGGAACAGTTTACACGCTCAGAAGTCTACCAGTGTTCACCGTAATCAGAAGTGTCTGGACGCTGATGGTAACCACTTTGACTTCTTGTAATTGCAGAAGTCAAACGTGACTTGTATTCATCTTTTGTTATCTGTATATATTGAGTATTACAGTTTTAATAGTTTTCCTTTCTTAAAATGTATATACATTTTTTTGCCACCCTCTGTATTTCTAGGAGAGGTCTTTGGACAGGGCATGGGTGAGTTTTTTCCTTCTACTTTTATTCAACTTTTAAGTTTTATATCAAGTAGTGCACACTTAAAAACATGAGCAGCAACCCATGTAAAGAGGCAGAGCTACTTTTTCTTATTGCAAACTCAGAACAAGACAAAATATACTTGTTCGTGCATTAGCAGTGCTTTAACATACAGGCTTTTAACAAAATGTGACTTACTCAAACCTTATCCAAATATTCTCTGTACCATCACTCAGTCTGACCACTTTGACAATTAAGTCAATAACAAATTTCAATGCTTTAATTAGACATACATACAATGGTTGGCCTTGAGCAGGGACTCAATCTATGTATATTCTTTCCAAGATCACATGTATTATAAAAGGAAATAAGAAGTACTATCCCCTATAGGCAGTTACAATATAAAACTCCATTAGAAATGAGAGCTGAAAAAGCTTTCCTGTAAGGATAAAGACCAAGAACTTCTATAAAAGGTAACGGGCTCTGTACCCAATTTTTCTTGCTGTGAGGAATAATATTCTTTTCAAAACCAAAACCAAAAATGCTGAAGTGGTGACAGGAAAATGATTGGTTCTGAGCCACATTTCTCTAAGCCAGGGATTGGCAAACTTGTTCTATAAAGGGCAGAGAGTAAATATTTTGGGCTTTGTGGACCAAGAGGAAAATTGAGGATACTATGGAGGTACTTATATATGTAGAAAAACAAATTTCCACAAAATTTTTATTGATGAAATTAAAAATATAACAACTGAGTACAATTATTTTTTCATACGGATATACTAAGGAGAACATAATTCCTTTTGAGGGATAACATTTCAATGAACTGGAATTCAAACTTATGCTTATATGAAAATCAATTGCAAACAGTCATGTGAATGTGGATCAATGAGATTTTATATGTTTTCTCCTGAATATTTCCTTTCCCACAGCCTAGATACTGACAAACACTGCCATCAGTCCACAAGTACATAATCTTAATGGAGCATATCCATCACTTGGAAGGTATTTATAAGATTTTGAGTAGATTCTTCTCTTTTATATTTGCCTTCTAGTATCATTACATTGCAGGTGAATCACTTCCAATCAAAGGTTAATGGAAGCTCCTCAATCAGCTTGATATTACTTGTAGTTCAAATAATGTTAACTGTCCTCAAAGTGACTTGTTGCAATATAAGTTTTCCATATAAGCACTGTTTTGTCTTGTAATTTTAGGCTGGATTTATTAAGAAACATTATCAAGTCTTCTGCAAAAATTTTCAGACATAATAGTTGAGGGCAGTTCTCCTCACTGGGAAAAATTTCAATGTTGTTCCTGAACAACAACAACAAAAATTTATAGTAAAATGTTGTCACTGCTAAGCCCAGAACTGCTGTGTGGTAGGGTAAGTCAGGATACTCAGTTCCTATTTGAGGAAAATTCACAGAACTGATGGTGGCGAAGTTCATGAGTAAGTAAAGTTCACTATAGATACTACTGGTTCAATAAAATAATGGTACATGACAGATTCAAATATTTTATGTAAAGTACCTGCTGATGAATAATAAAATAACCACCATAGGCTTTAAAAGCTTTACATTTCACAAGTTTTGTAAATTTATCCAACTAAGCGTTTTTCTCAGCCACACATATTTTTACCACCATTCACATCTTAGCAGGTCCCACTTCGGGTTGTAGGGAATTTGTGTTTCCTCAACTTGTTTGCAAATTTTCTTGTCTGTAGCTGTTCCACAGACTATTTGCAGAGACCAATTCTTCAGTCACTTCAGACTTGGCATTGACTTCAAATAACACCTGGGCAGTATCCGCTCATCTGTCAACTCAAGAGCCAAGGAAAACTACTCAAATAATTTGCTTTGCTTTCCGACTGATACGGTTCCCACAGCCCTGAACTCTTCAAGTAATTGTTGCTGAAGGCCTAACAGTCTTAAATAAGTTTATTTTCTCTGCATACATCTTTGGCCATTGCAATTAAATGTGATTTAATTAACTCACCATTGGAAAATGGTTTTACTTGTTTGGCTAACATGAGTCATTTTGAAACTCACTTTGGTTGCAGCCGCATTTAGATATTTTATTTTTGTTAAGAAATTCTGCTGTGATAAAATATTCCATTTAAAATTTTTGTGACCACTGCTTTCCTGTGAGTTGGGAGGAGAGCTGAGTGCTTAATACGGTGATGTATTCTTTAGCACAGCAATTGCGTCACTGTGTAATAACCCCAATGTTCTGCCATCTGACTTTGTTAGATAGTCCACAGTCCACTGTATTAAAAAGCATTCAAAAAGTTTGTAAAATAATCCAGATTCCACTGGTTAAACAGCATTCAAAGTCCCCGTTTCTTATTTTGGTAGGCATTGGTAATTTTTTTAAATGTCACAGCATGGTGACGTGAAACACTGTCAAATTGCAAATGCATCACTGCTATTTGCAGTTCCTGAGCAGCGACTGGAAGTGCACCACCTCCATCGCCACTGCGACTTCTCACTCATCTCTGCTGTTGCAGCATAAAAGCACACACACAATTCATAAATAAATGAGCGTGGCTATGTTCCAACACAACTTTATTTATGGACACTGAAATTTGAACTTTTTATAATTTTACATATCAAATATATTTTCATTTTCTTCAACTGTTTAAAAATGAAAATAAACAATGAGAAAAATTTTTAAACATTCTTAGCTCATGGTCCATTCAAAAACAGGCAGTGGGACAGATCTGACCCATGGGCTATAGTTTGCCAACCCTTGTGCTGTTAAATTATACAGCCTATTCGAGAGTCTTACAATATTTTGACTAGGCTCCTCGTAAGATAAGATACATCCAAATTGAAAATCATACCAGGAAATGCTTATGTTCATTTATATAAGAAATACTAAACTTAGGAACTCCCAAAGTAATGTTTTTATTAAAAAATTACTGATAAATCTATTTCATAAAAGTATGTCTATACTTGGGACTGAACTGGGGGAGGGAGTACAAAAATGTATTATGGACTATTGAGTTAGTCAGGGATTCAGGGCTGAAAAATTCTGTGAAACTGGAAACATTTTAACTCATGAGATTTCTGATACTATCACCTGATGAGCTCATTTAAAAAACAAGTACAAAATGATATAACTGGCCTCATTAAAACACTCATCCAGCAATTTTATTCTGCAGATACATTCATATGTGCAAAAATTGCAAACAACCTATGTGTCCGTCATTAGGAGAGTGCCTAAATAAATGATGATATGCTAATACACGGGACTACAAGGCAGCCAATTAAAAGAATGAAGGATAAAAAGAATGGAGTAAAGTTGAAGATAATGCAGTTGAAGACTTACTGCCATGCCTAAGTATATATTGCAGAGAAACTCTCATACCCGTGCATAAATGTTTAAATCAGCATTGTTTATAACAACAAAAAGATGGAAACAAACTACATGCCAAACAGAATAGACAGTGATATATACTCATTCCTGAAAACCCACAGCGGTGAAAATGAGTGAGCCATAGATACACACATCCACGTGGATAAACCTTGCAATGCTGAGAAAAAAAGTTGTAGACTACAGAATGTGTAATTTATATCAAATTTTAAAACAAGCAAAATAACATTATGTAGTAAACTGTACATGGAAATGATAACCACAAAATTCAGGACAACAGTTACCCTTGGGTAGAAGAGGAAAAGAAAATACTAGGGAAGAACAAGTGAACTGGTAAATCTTAAGCTGGGTATACAACTATTCATTATATTATATTTGCATTTTTGTACAGCTGAAATATTTACAATTTTAAAAATGTTCATCTCCCACATGTGTTGTTTGATGAATAAACAAGATGCAGAATGAGGCTGTAGAGTAGGCTATCATTTGTGTGTGATTGTGTTTTTAAAGAATAGACTCCCGTACTTTTATTTAGGAATAGAATACTCCCAGAAGGACACAAATCACAGGAATTGCCTCTGGGAAGCACTGGGTAGGAGGGGAAGAAGAAGGAATGAGACTTAACTTTGCCCTTTTAAATTTGTATTTGGTACCATCCATGTATTATCTTTCTGAACAACAAATTTAACCTCTGTCTTTAACCCAATGGTCTGGTAGCTAAGCGTTAAAAGACAGAAGGGAAAAATGAAAGAGGAAAGCGACAAGAATCCTAAAATCCTGGCCCTAGGAGGGCCGCCCTGGTCCTGCCCTTTGCAGATCTCCTCCTGCCGCACGGACAGCGGCCCTCCCCTCCTTCAGTGCTTCTGAGAAAGGTCTTCTGCCTTCTTACAACTTTAACCTACTGGACCTAGTAAGTCCAGTATTTCTTTCACAAGACGGTCCCTAGCTGTCAGGTCACGCCCGTCTAACTTACTGCACGTTCAGCCATCAGGGCTACTAATTGCAGATGATGGTCCATCGTTTCTGACATGTTTTTAGGCATAAATTGCTGTACTGTCTGATCCAATTAAACCCAGGCCCTTCTGTGGGCCAGTCCTTGGGGCCTGTTCCTACCTAAGAGGGCTCTTATTAGCTAGCTCTCTCCCTGGGTCTCTGTCAAGCTTCTGTACCGGCTACAGTTCAGCTTGAATGGAGCCAGCACTGTCCTCTCAACTGCTCACCACCAAAATGCTGACTATTCCCCAGCGCCCTTAGGCTTGAACTTCCCCATGGTTTCAAGTAAGCAGTGCCCTGAGGAGAGCTACCCTTCGAGCCCTCTACTCGTAAGGCCGGCCCGACCCCTGGAGAAAATCTCTACCTCAGTTCAGGACTTCGGCCTACTTCCCTTGGAGTGACACCGTGATTATGAGCAGAGCCCTGGGTTGTAGCGCAGCCCTTCGTTTTCTGGCTGACCTCTGCCAGTGTGCTGGGCCAGGTGAGCGGGGTGAGGGTGATCAGGGAGAGCTTCCGCCCTATGAATGGAGGTTACCTGGAAGGAGCCCCAGATCTCTCAGCTGCTTCTGCAGCACGGAGTTGGGGGGGAGGACGGAGGCGGGTTCCTGCCCTTCCTGGTGGGTTACTGCAGCTCGAATGGGAGTTGGCAGGGGAGGGAGGCGGGTGTTCTCGGCTGTACCTGCAGGGAGCAGGGCTTCCGGTTCACTGAGCTGGGGCGGTGGGGTACTGGGGCGGTGAGGGCTCCCACGCCTTGCACTCAATGTTCTCACTGAGATTCCGATTTTCATGAGTAAAGAGTTCTCCATTTACTGTATTTAAAAAAAAAAATAATTTTCACCGGGCCGGCCGAGTGGCGCGTTGGCTAAGAGCTGGCTTGGGACGCCAGAGGGCCCCGGTTCGGATCCCACATATGAGGGCCAGTGACACTGCCCTCTACAGCTAAGATGCTGAACAACAGCTCAACCTGGAGCTGGGCCACCATGAGTTGCCAGCGACGGCGTTGGCTGCAGCCCCTGCTGCAACCCCTGTTGCCATGGGCTACCATGTGTGGCCGGCAGCCAGCGTGAGCGGCCATCCAGAAGCCGGAGACTGATCTGCCTCACCCAGGAAGAGCGCAATGATGGTGCCAACTTGGGCCAATGAAGCAATGTCCTCCACAACTAGACTCAAGAACAAAAGGACAGCAACTTGTCTGTTCCCCTTCCCCCAATTTCCCAGCGCTGTTCCAATTCCCCAATTAAAAAAAAAAAAAAATCTTTAAAAAAATAAATAATTTTCACCAGCTGTGGTTGTTGCACTAGGGAGGTCTGCAAAGCCCCTCACATGCCATTCTGCTACTTAAGAGAGAATTTTTTATATTTAGTTGAAAAAACCAATTGTTCTTTGTTTCTTTTGTTACACAAGGTCCCAGGTTTGATGATCCTTAAGTTCTCTTTTGGTTCTAAATATGCATGAGTTGATGTTTGCGGTGGTCATTTTCTTCAAATTACTGCAGAGATACTTAATAGAGATGTCTCTATTTCCTACACTACTTCCATAATCTATTGAACATAGAAAAAATATTGGGTTGTTGGAAAAGTCATGAAGTATTTTTGCAACGAAAAACATAGAAAAAATATGTCATGACTTTTCCGACAACCCAACAGAACACAACATTCTCAAAAATTAAATAATTGAAAGGTAATAGGGTTAAGAAATGTCTTGTATACTCAGTTAATTTTAGGTACATTTCTAGAAGTGGTCTAAGATACAACACAAACATGAAAATAAATTCGCCTATCCACCCAAACTACAGAAATTAGAGTTGGCATATAAGCTTGTACCAAAATCTGAATGACACCAAATGTAAAACTGCTCTAGGGAGAGTTATAAGAACGTATCTGTCCTGTACACTGACAGTATTAATTTACCAACATCCTCTCTTGCCTACCACTAAGAAAACCATTAATTAGTTTTAAATAAAAGAAAATATATGGTCATTCATTGAGCTGGTATCTACCGAGTGACAGCCCCTATGTTAATGGCAGGAGACACATGAGACCACGCCCTTCCCTCTCCATGGAGAGCACACACACATGACCTATGAAACAATATGATTACACAGTAAATGTCCACACAGGATGGTATGAAGAGCAGAGAGGGGGCAACTGAACTAGGTAATAAAGGGCGAGAGAGCATTCACTAGGATGAGAGAAATATCAACCAATCGTTTCAGGTGAAAAAAATGGCCAGAGACATGGCTGCACATCACAGCATGGGACATTCGAGGAACAGTCTTGGGACCAGAGAAATAAGAATAAGAGGAAAGCAGCAAGATAGGAAAGTGAGCGGGAACTACAGGATCTGATGATGGAAAGTCATTAAGGGTTTTACCCAGGTTTCCACATTTGACAGAGGTACCTGCAGTGGCTCTGCAGAAAGCTGGCAAAGAACACAGGTGGACACAGTCCTTCTCTGGCTCCGACACAGAGGCAGAGGCCTAGGGCACCTCACAGACAGAGAGACCATACATTCAGATACAAATGGACACATTTATGCTAATGTACAGGAGAGGTGCGTGGTGGTGGTGGGGGGGGGTGTGTGTTCAGGGTGTCTCCCAAGGTTAGGCTCAGGCAACCAGATGAATAGTGACAGCAAAAACTGTGGTGACCAATAAAGATATGTCCGGAGTACAGATGTAGGTGGCTATGTTAGTGGACATCTCAATACAGATCCAAAGCTCAGGATGGGGCCAGGGCGAAAGGCACAGATTCTGCCACATGGATGTTGCTGGGGCAACGAGAGTAGCTCATGTCCCGCAGAAAGAGGCTGCAGGGGCAGCAGGGCGGGTTATCTATCAGTGAATATCAACAACGCAATGGCACATGGAGAAAGAAAGAGGAACCAGTTAATGAACCTCTGATCTGAAATCCTAGTTGGGTCAAGATAAGTATATACTAAAACGCAAAAACAAATAAAACTTGGAGTATATCAGTAATTGTAATCCTAAAGCTGCTGAACATCTGAAAAGCATTTAAAATTACTTTAGGAGTAAGTCCAAAAAAATAAAGGATATTTCTTTACAAGTTTAAGTAGGTATTACCTATTCTGACATAACCATCTTCTAATCGTTTGTCTTTGGTTTCTTTGCTTAGTACCAAACCTTCATTCTAAAATAGAACAAAAACATTAGTTTTATAATGAATTACTTCTATTTAAAACAAAGCTAAGTTATTAATACACCTCAGTAAATATAACAGTGGCATTTGTAGCACAGCTATGTCCAGAAAAAGAAAATGTCATCTCGTCTTAAACCTTAAAAGGCTTATCTATGAGTGTCCTTTTTTCTATCATCATAGGAATCTGTATATAATATACTTGTGCCTAGAAAATTTAAATTTCAAAGAATTTTCAATTTAAATCAATTTAATACAACATTTTCTATTAAAAAAATATATAAGAACTCTGTGCTAATTTGAAAGAAATCTAAGCATTCCTTAGAGACTAATACATTAATTTTGTGTATTAATCACCAGGCATTAAAACCACATAGTATTCTGGGACTCAAAATACGAACAGCAGGTAAACATTAAAGTAAAAGAATGAGTCATTTATTTTCCTAGTACTAACTTTCAAGCATTTGCCAATAGGAAACAATGAAAGCTCATTCTATGAATAAGGTAAATAGTACAATATATTAGGTGTTTCATATTAAAAAAAAATATTACTACTCACCACTGAGGTCCTGCAACCATGAAAATTTTCTTTTACCTCACAGACAAGAATAGCCTCAAACCAAGTCTACTGGTATTAGCTCTTAAGGGAAATGAAGGGGAAAAAATGGTCATACCGTAAAAGGCAAAACTTCCACAGTTGTGTTTAGCAGGATGTCACCTGGATGTTCCTGGTTGCCACTATGGAACAAATAACTGGAAATACAAACATAAAAATAAAAATACCAGTCAGACTAGACTTTACAAAGATTCAAGGAGGTGGCCTTACCTCCGAGGACGCTTTCTATACAAGCTGACAACATTAGAACTTGTATTAATAGTAACTGCATATTATGTTCTGAATAGGTGTAGGTAACTTAAAAACTGAAGGGTGCCACCCTTAGGTAATATTAATACATAATTCCTTCTGTCAGAGGGGCATGTTTGCTGCTTAATATGTAATAATGTACACAACAGATTAAAAATATGACAGTTTTATGTTGCTTTAAATATATACACCTCTTGACAGGAATAATAAAAATTGCATTACAATACTACTGTATCTTGTATCAGAGAAAATTCTCACTGGGGCAGCCAAGAGTCGTAGCAAGTTCAAAGACTAGTTTTATCCAAAACAAATAACTTTAGTATTAGTAAAAATAAGCCAATTCCAAATATCTGAATAATGCCATTTGACAATGTTAATAAATACCTGAATGACTGATTACATGATATACTGTGATAAATCTAAAATACTCTCTGGGTTTGAGTAGAATTTTGTATGTTGCTACTCTGAAAACTAGTGTGTTAGGGATAAGTGTGGGGAAGGGTGGGAACAAGATAGGGCACACAAAGCATATCTACATCTAAACCTAAAACTTTGGTTAAATGTTTAAAAGTTTATGCTTAGGAGTCAGAAAGATCTGCATCCAAATCCTGGGTCTCTCAGTTACTAGAATTTTCATCTTTAGCAAGTTGCATTAGCTTTCTGAGCCTGACTTTTCTCTATACAATGCAGACATTCCCACCCTCACATGACTGAGCCAAAGAGTTTATGAGAACTGATAAAACAGTACCTTGCATATTAAACATACTCAGCAAGTAATAGTTACAACATGGTTCTGATATAGGTATAGTATGGTATTTATAGGCGGAAATCACCTGTGATAAGGCCTTGATTTTGAAATGTTACACGGGTCAAAGACCCTCATAAGAAGCTCCTTTTAAGCTACACCAAAAATTACTTCCAGCATTTTTGTTGAGATACTTCTTTTTAAGACATCTTTGTCTTGGAATGCTGCTTCATCTAACCATGGGCTATTCAATATCTCAGCTATAGATAACAAAAATATAGGTGGGGGAAGAAACCACTTTTAAGAAAAGAGCCCATAGATATAATTTGGAGTTTACACAGATTCATTCAGAGGTGTTTATTATGTGATTATTTATAGTGAAAAACTCAAAACCAATTAAAAATTTTAACATTAGAAGAAGTAAATGATGGTAGAGCCATGCAGTGGCATATTGTACAGCCATTAAAATGTTTATGAATCACTTATGACAGAGTAAATTGGAAAATATATAATACAAAATTACATACAGATCATGCTCTCAAAGTAGAAAGTACACAGGATCACCAAGAAAAAATGTGCCAATATGGTCACGATGGTGTTCTTGGGTTGTGATTTTGCCCCCTCATTCTTCATACATTTAAATTTTTGTATAACAAACACATACCATGTTATAGTCAGAAAATATTTCTCCTAATACTTCATTTTTGTATTGATCAAGACAATTGCTATTTCCCCTCTCAGCAAATAAGTTACTGTGGAAATAAAAAAAGTGATTCCCCTTCTCTGTCTGAGGATGAGTGGGTCTATCCAGGAACTCTAAGACAATTCATATATATTATGATTTTAGAAGAACTGTGTCCTGCTAGAAATGTGGCCTCAGTAGGGGCATGTAAATACTAACTTACTGAGGTTTATTGTAATGTACTTGTTGTTAACAAATTTGATCTCCAATATGTGAATTTTCAGGCAGATTCTTCAATGGAATTACTTTCATTTGCTGAAAATAAACCAATTAGACATGGTTTGAGGCTATTCTTGTTTATGAGGTGAAAGAAAATTGTTTCTAATTCTATGATGACTTTAAGTGTGGTAAACAATATCTCAGAGTGCAGATGATCACTATACAGTATAAAAATGAACAATAAATAACAAAACAAATGTTACATACTCATATAAGTGCAAAATATTACTTAAAAGCATTATTATGTTTTTCCAGTAATTCTCCCATTGCTTAAAACATTTTTACATTTAAATTCCTCTTCAGAATCAGTTTAAAGTAACAAAAGAAAATTAGTAACATTACATTATAGTTACGTATTGTTTTTGACCACCTTAAATATAATTATTCAAATGACTTTTGGTGGATTCTAAAAATTAAATGGCCCTCACACAAGAACACACAACACAATAAGCCACAGTCTCGAGAATTATATTCTTTTCTGGGAAACCACATGTAGGTATATCACAGATAGTCTGGAGAACACACCCAAACCTTAGCAAAGGTTGAAGAAATCATGGCTGCTAAATAAAAAATGGGGAAAAGGAGTCCTAAACTTTGTAAAATGAACATAAATGCTAAAAAACATAAAAGGGTTGTGAATTCCTCCATGGTGTACAGCAAGGAATCCAGCATTTGCAAAACCATTGACTAGAAATAGTCACAGTTTGTTAAATTTATCATTTCAACCAGATTGATGAATAGTCAAATCAGCTCTCACCCAAATCTTAGGAGATGTTCTAGGATAAGGATGTGGAAATTCTGTTTAAGGTGGTCAGATTTTGAGGAAGATTCCACATAAAACTATAAAAACCAACCCTAAATATATGTTCAGAAATACCAATAGAATTTATCAAACAAGCTAAATGCTGACATTACATCTGAAAACAACAAATCCATTTTATTACTGAGTTGTAGGAAATGTATTTTATAACCCAACATTTGGGATCCTCACATCTGTTATACTCCCAAAATATTCCATCATAAGTCACATTATGAATAAGACGTATGAATTGCAAGACCAAATATATTTCAATAATCACCAACCTTTCTACATTGACTGGCTTATCAAATTTAAACAAGATGAAGTCTCCAGCTGTTGGGGTTATAGCCCAGAAGAAATCCTCCCCCATATATGTTTTCTCCAGTGTATGACCTTGGTAGACCTTCAAAGAAGTAGATACTTCTGCAGGTGGGTTTACATGGATTTTAAGAAGTAATGGTTTCATGTAATCTTTATCCTAGAAGGAGAGACATATATGTTATTAAAACAACAAACAGCTTATTTATACTTAAGAGCAATGATGATGCACTAAATAACTAATTGTGTGTGCATGAGAAAAACCAATTAAATCACCAACCGTAAGTTTTTGAAGTTTTCCTGTTAGTGAAGAATGCAGTCCAACATGTTGGAAGAGGGAAGGTCTGAAGCGAATTCGCAGATTTGCTTTCTGTCTATCACAATGTTTCTAAATATTAGGGAAAAAATCATGTTAGTGTTATATTACAAAGTGAAATCTTGTCCTCATTTGAAAAATGAGAATTCCTTAGGTCACTACTGAAAAGAAAATCCAACTTCATCTCATAATTCCAAGTCACATGCCTTTTGAGGGTCCTCTTTGAGGCATTAATAGAATTGCTATCTAAGCAGAAAACACCCAGTCAGAACAGCAAAAACAAAAAAGAATCCAAAAAAATGAGGATAGTTAAAGGGCCTCTGGGACAACATCAAGTATACTAATATTTGCATCAGGGGGTACCAGAAGGATGAGAGAGCAAAGACTTAAAAACCTATTAAAGAAATGACAGGAAACTTTCCTTACTTGGCAAAGGAAATAGACATACAAGCCCAGAAAGCACAGAGAGGCCCAAACAAGATGAACTCAAAGAGGCCCACACCAAGATTCATCATAATTAAAATGCCAAAGGTTAAAGACAGAAAGAATCTTAAAAGCAGCACGAGAAAGTTAGTTACTTACAAGGGAGCTCCCATAAGACTGTCAACTGACTTCTCAATAGAAATTTTGCAGGCCAGAAGGGATTGGCACGAAAATATTCAGTGATGAAAAACAAGAACCTATAACCAAGATTACTCTACCCAGCAAAGCCATCATTTAAAAATTGAAGGACAGATAAAGAGCTTCCCAGACAAGAAAAAGCTAAAGTAGTTCATCACCACCAAACCAGTATTGTAAGAAATATTAAAGGGACTTCTTAAAGAAGAAAACAGATCAAAACTATGAATAATAAAATGGCAATAACTACATATCTATCAATAATTACTTTAAATGTAAATGGGTTAAATGTTCCAATCAAAAGACATAGGGTGGCTGAATGGATAAGAAAACAAGATCCTTACATATCCTGTCTACAAGAGACTCATTTGAGATTGAAAGACACACACAGGGCCGGCCGAGTGGCTCAGTTGGTTAAGAGCTCGCTCAAGAGTGCGAGCTCTGAGCAATAGCAGTTCAATGCACGGCAGAGCTGAGTTGCTGCTGAACAGGTGGCAGGATGGTTCAGCTAAAAAACAAAACAAAACAAAAAAACAAAAGACAGACACACACAGACTGAAAGTAAAGAGATGGGAAAAAGGTATTTCATGAAAATGGAAATGAAACAAGTAAAAAGCTTGGGAAGCCATACTTATACCAGACAAAATGGACTTTAAAACAAAGGTTATAACAAAAGACAAAGAAGAACCCAGTAATCCCACTTCTGGGTATTTATCTGAAGAAACCCAAAATGCTACTTTGAAGGGACAAGTGCATCCATATATTCATTGCAGCATTGTTTACAATGGCCAAGATGTGGAGGTAGCCTGGGTGTCTGTTGACAGACAAATGGATAAAGAAAATGTACATATATACAACGCAATATTACTCAGCCATAAAAAAGAAGGAAATCTTGCCATTTGCGTTAACATAGATGAACCTAGACGGTATTATGCTGAGTGAAGTAAGAGAGACAGAGAAAGAAAAAAGCCATATGTTTTCACTTATATGTGGAATCTGAAGGACAAAATAAACAAAACAGAAACAGACTCATAAATACAGAGAACATTTTGATGGTTGTCAGATGGGAGGGAATTGGGGGCATGGGTGAAAAGGGGAAGGAATTAAGAAGTACAAATTGGTAGTTACAAAATAGTCACGGAGATGTAAAGTGCAGCATAGGGAATATATCACATTGTAATAACTATGTATGGTGCCAGTGGGCACTAGATTTATCAGGGTGACCATCTCCTAAGTTATGTAAATGTCTAATCACTATGTTGTATAACCTGAAACTAATATAATATCACATGTCACTGTAATTGAAAAATAAAAAAATTTAAAAATAGAATTGCTACCTACTTGATGCAGATATTAAAAATAAGCACATCTAAGGGAACAGTTAAGGATTTAACTTCAACCATCTTTCAAGATATGTCAACATAGATTTGACTTTTAATATTAAAATGCACGAACTATAAACTAGAGGTTTGGTTCAAACAGACAAAATATAGAAAAAGATAATATAATGAAGAATTGCAAATAATAAAAAGCACATTTTGTTCCATGAAAGCAATTTCAAAATGTGAGGCAATAACTTGACTACAAGCAAGTAAATAATAAAAGTTCCACAGACAAATCCATGTCAGCACATGTCATGGCCCCTACTTCAGATTACAACCGTCTTCACGATCAGTGTGTGAAACTCATGATGCTAGCAGAGCTCTCAATGGGCGTTGTAAGTTCAGTGCTTCAAGATGGCTAGCCATGGCTAGCTGGTCATGCTTTTATAAACTGTTTTCATTTTCAAGGACTTTTTATAAGTTTTAGGCCAAGAACAAATTGAAAAAGATATATTTATAAGATATTTCCACTTTGAAAGACCTCCAATAATTTACTGGGTGTTAAAAGGCCTGATTTTTCTCAAAAGGTTTTACTTCATTAGCATTATTATTAACACTGGAATACAAGTGAAGTAGTATATTTTATTCACTTGAATTCAACTACTCAAGAGGGAAAGAGCAAAGGGAGGGGGAGAAGAAAAAAATAAACAGGGCCTGAGACTGAGCCCACATGTGGGCCTGGCCAGTTGGAGCCAGTTGATAAACCTTTGGAAGGATGTGTGAATGCTATGAGGGGTTTCCCAGACCTCTGTCAGTGAGATCGCTCTGCATGCCAGCAAGTATGTGGTGACAGCTTCCTTGACATCCCAGTGGAAACAACGAAAGATTTACCAGCCACAGAAAAACGTGGCCCAAGGAAGTGCGAAAGAATAGACAGAACTATCCAGAGTTGTATATTAAAATTTAGGGGTGATTTAAAGGCTTCTTGTGGCTTTAATTTTTACTATCCAAGTTTTTTACCTCACGGGCTCATTTTTGGAACCTAACTATATATTAAACTGCACAGGACCAATTAAATGCAAGTATATTTTAGTAGTGTAAAGATGACATTAACTTTTTTGTGTCCTACAATAAAAATTCCTATAAATCACAAAGAAAATACAGGTAAGGGCTCACATCATAAAAATGAGTTGTTCAAATCAATTTACATGTTTACATGTTGAAAAGTAGATATTCTATTTCACTGTGTTCCATGATTTTTTCTAAGCAACTGTTAAAAAACAAACAAAAAGACCAAAGAGAATGCAATGATAGCTTACAGACACCAGAAGATAGTGTCCTAAAAACTAATTGGCAGGTAGGATGATAAAACTATTCTAAGGAATAGCTTTGAAATCAAAACTATTGGTCATGAAATTAAATGTTTATTTGTTGAATGAATAAGTCAACTCTACAGTGACATATGCTTATACTATTTCCCTATTATTACAATGTCAAAACTGACCTTCATTTTAAAAATTGTGTACATTCATATTTCATGTATGCTTATACAAATAAATAAAAAATTGTTTTCTTCCAGAGGTACGATTCAAATTGGATAAGGAAACCATATTTAATTAATTTTTACATTAAGATTTCTATGGAAATAACTTGATATTTGAATCAAAGCAAAAATCATTGTTCACTTACCCCAAAGGTCAGCATTAAACACTGGCTTCTTCCAAGTAATACACTGCAAGGTACTTTTTAGATTTGCCATTGTTTTGGTATAAAATATTACTTCTATTTTACTCCTTATTTCCAAATGTGTTGGGGTCTGATATTGTCCCCAAAGTATTTGAAAAAAGAGAGCTGACAAGGAATATGAAGAAAATTGAAACACCACTCCAAACCAGACAGATCTGATCAACATCTGTAGTCAACAGTAACGAGATAGCAGTGCTCAAAGACACTACAGACATTTATCAGCAATTTAAAGAAAGGTGGGCTTCACTGATTTATAGGATTACCTGACTGCTATTTAAAAGTCCCTCTAATATAGAAACTTATTGTCAGCTCAAGAAGGAAGGCAAGCATATGAAACAGTAAGTAGAAACACCTATTTATCTGGTCATTCACAAAATTTGCTTCCCTAAAAGTCACTTTCATGAAATATAGAAAAGAAGCAAGCCTCTTCCACACTCATAAGAAATTAACTTACTGCATCTTTTTCAGGGTTGCAGACTTTCACCCACAGAATATGGTCCAAGAGCCAATCAATGGGCTTCTCCTTATAGAACATAAATATGAATTCCACAATCAAAGTTAGGTCTGGTGCTTGAAACATTTTACCTGAAAAGATATTCCCAGTCAATAGTTGTAACAAAGAAACCAACCATCAATACGGCTTAAGTGAAACCTATGTAACAGACATACTAAAGCTTGCGCTTTCAACTATAAATCATTATGAATAATGTTCCCACTTGCCTTATCAAAAACAAACTTGCTTTAGCTAATCATTGAGCTGTCATCTGGATATCAACAGGAGTACTGAACTCCTGACTTTATTATAAAATCTATCAAACAATTACTAGCTCAAAGGATTCTAGAAGCAATTCACATATTTTTCCTTCATGTCTTTATTAAAATTTTTCCCATAAAAAAATAGGAATTTAAGAGGCTTAGCTAAAAAAAATTTTAACTAATCAATAAATGCAAAAAACAAGGACTCCTAATTCTGTCTTCACTTAAACCTTCAAAAGATGTTTTTTGACTCTTAAATTAAGTTTGAGATAAATGATCAACAAGATCAAAGGCCCAGCCCCTAATACTTGAAGTTTTAAAGAATTACAGGAAGTGAAATGTTATCCTCTGGGTGTTTTTTAAAACCTGTAAATTTCCTTCAAATCTTCAACTTTAAATATCTCCTCTTCAGTTGGATAATTTAGGAATTTTAGTGAAAAAAACACCATTAAAAATGAGCACTTTGACTAGTCAATAAAAGCAACAAATGAATAAAAATTAATCAATAAACAGATACTTCATGATAAATCAAATATGGAATTTACATTAGAAAACTGTACCATTCTTTTTAAAAGAACCCCAATCTTGCAAAAGCACTGGGCTATAAAAGGGAAACTGGAGGTACCAGAGGAGAACTGAGACATGCTCTCCAGGACAACATTTGGCTTTACGTGTGGACATAAGGAGTCAGTGGGGCTGCCTCACAGAACTCTACAGAGTCAATATTACAATCTTAGAAGCCTCCAAATACTATTTTGGGTTCACTTTCATCATTTCATACATGGAACATGGAAGTTTACCTAAGCTAAATTTCCTCAAAAGCAATCTACTTTCATAGAATAAAGACACCTTTAAGACACCCAAAAAACCCAAAAATAAAATAATTAGTCTAATATCCCAAGAGTCACAGTTATTCTGAACAGTAGATAATCTGAGACTTTTCTTACCAATGAAGCCCAGCTGGGAGAACTCGAGTATCATCCATTCCTCAGAAGAAAGTTGAAGGGCAAAATTTTTTATCGTGTTAAAGTAATTCTGTTTGACAACAATATCATCTTCAAGCTAAAGAAAGTTGAACAATCACATTAATAGGCCAGAAAGAGAAGGAAAGATTTAGACAGAAGGACCTTTATTATGGAAAAATTCAAGCATACTTTTATAATGAAAATCAAGAAAACAATGGTCAAAAATGACAAAAATAGAAAACTAAATTTTATTAAAAGAAAATGAGGAAAATGAGGAAATGAGGAAGATGCACCTAGCAAGTTAACTAAACCAGCCCGACTATGGGAGATAACACTACTACTACTACATGAATTACTCCTTTATGGCCCTTTTATAGTGCCCAACATGCTTTCACATTACCTTTTTTTCTTTTTAAATGGAAAATAATTTTTGTAGGCCTTTTAAATTTTTTTTGCTTTTTATATAATACACATACCAAGTCAAAGAGATAGTCAAAGGAAAAGCTAGTAGCTTTCATCCTCTGCCCTCCACCACCGTGCTAGTTGAGGACACCAGTTAAAAGTTGGGTGTGCATCCATTCGACACCTTCTATGTGAACATACAGCACATACAGACCCATACATCCTTAAGGTTCCCATCCACCTCTACATTATTATTTAAAAGGGGGATCATATTATGAAACTGGTTTTTTCCTCAATGTATCATGCTTATCTTTCCATGTTCATAAATACATATTTAAACCATTCTTTTCAACAGGTACATAGTATTCCATGCTACCAGTGTACAACAATACTTTCAACCCTGCCCTGCTCACAGGCAGATGTCCAGGTGGTTCTCATTTTTTGTCAGTGCAAACAATGCTGCAGTAATATGCTTACATACTAGCACTTTTCATTTCTGTAGGCTAGATTTCTCAAAGTTCCTTTGATTGTACTTTAAAAGGTTATCTTCAAAATACTTAGACACCGTAGCAGTTCACCAAGCGCCAGTGAGCCCCACGTGCTCTGCCAGCACCATGTGTCCTTATGCTCGGAATTTGGACCAGCTCAACAGGGAGTGACAGAGGTCTGTGATCATAAATGTACACAAAGACGTCCTCCCCAGAATCTCCTTCCATAAAATTTTAAGTCACAAGATGACTTTAATATCCTAAGAAAAATTTTCCTTTTCTTAATTTTATATTATTATTTCTAGTTACCTGCAAAATAATTTGCACTTATTTTAGTATTTAGATTTTTCATGTACTTAATTAAGTTCTTTAAGCTTTCTTCTTCCTATCTGTGAAGAAATAGGAACAGTATTTGGAAAGGTATTATATTGGCTCAACAAATACTTATTGAGCTTTTATTATGTTCAGACACTGTACTAAACCCTGGGAATACATCAATGAACAGACAAGACAAGCTTTACACCCTCGGAGCCTTTAGGGAAGTTGGAGGGAAACCCAGACAAAACAGAGAGCTACGCGGGCACCTAACCTTGCTTTATGAAAAGACAGATGCCTTCGTTCAAACCTAAACATTTACTGCGTAAGCCCAAAGGAAAGATGGTATCAGATAATTCCAAAATTTTCCAATAAGTAAATTTAAAAACAAGTTTGGGGCAAATTTAAATATGTAGATATGTAAATAAAAGTCAAATGCCTACTTAAAATTTAGTAACTTTGGTTACCATACATATTCACATTTTTTTATATTAAATTAGAAAAATTGCTTTGTTCCACTCTCATATCTCATCACACAGCTGCACTTTTTAAAAAACTTATTTTAAGATAATTGTACATTCCCGTGTAGCTATCATACCAGAGACCCCAAATACCCGTGACTCAGTTTCCCCATATCACTGCAGTACAGTAACACAAGTGGAAAACTGACTTTGCTACGACTCATGGACCTATTCAAAGTTCACCAGTTTTACATACACGCAGGAGTGAGAGTGTGTGTGCATGTGTGTGTGTGTTTAGTTCCTCACAACTTTATCATGTGTAGATCTGTGTGAGCACCACTGCCGTTAGGATATGGAGCAGCTCCATCACAGGGATTCTTGTGCAACCCCCTCCCCCCTCCTCCCACCCCTCTGTGCCTCTGGGAGCAGACAGTCTGTTCTTCAGCTCTGTAATTCTGTCATTTCAGGAATGCTATGTAAATTACACATTTCAGCGTAATTCCCCCTGAGATCCAGGATGTTCTGTGTAGCAGTAGCTCACCTCTTTTCATTACACAGGATGGTACGAATCAACCATGGTTTGTTTAACCAGTCACCTGCTGAAGAAAACTTGCACTGTTTCCAGATTTGGGCTATTATGAGTAAAGCTGCTGTGAACCTTCATGCACAGGTTTTTTAGTCAACATACGTGCTTCTCTGACATCAGTATTTTATCATGGCAAGAGCCACTCAGAAAAATCTAACATCTCATTAGTGATCGCTAGTTTTCAGAGGGAAGCTAAAAAAGAACATGCAAAATACTGTTTTTACAGTATGTAAATGCAGCATCAGAAAGACATAGATTATATATACATTTTTGCTTAAATTTTAAAAAAGTATACGGAGAAAACCAAAACAACAGTGGCTACCCATGGGGGAGGGAAGAAACAGTGAGGGGGACAGGGATAAAAGTGAGACTTCTGTGACTGTACCTTGTTGTGTATAAGTTCTGGTTTTGGAATGTTGTATTTTTTATAACTAAAGAAGAAAGAAAATCATAAAAACTGAATACAAACTGAAAAAAATGAACCTAGTTTCATATGAAGATGGCAGCATGGTCACACAGTATAAAGAATTATTTCAACTGGCTTTCAAACAGAATTTTGACTATATACCCATATCAGGATATTCTAAGGGGGAAAAAAAGAACAAAGAAAATTTAAGTTGCATTCAGTAGTCTAGCTGTCAGTAGTGATACTGGTGTTGTTATTTTGAAACTATTTAACAATTATGTTATTAGGATAATGTTATTAAAAACCAAGACTTTAAATTTAAGAGAAAAGACATATATGTATAAATTCAAAAAGATAAGTAAAAACCCTATAACCTTGTGAAATGGGAATGTCAATATAAATGTGATCTCTTTTGCTTGCTGAAAGGCCGAGAAGCAGAGACACTGCGACAGCATCGAGCACCTCAAGCACACAGACTGTGATCCTAAATACCACACGCCTCCAACAGGAACAGCGCTCTTTAGAGACACGGCTGGTTCCAGATCTGGAATGGGAGCTGTGCACGGTGTGTCAGTCAGCAAAGCAGTGATCAGAGATGACCGGCTTTCATGGAAAGAACACAAGAGCCAATCTGAAGAGATTCCCCTGACTTGTGATGTGCCAATGTGAGCATCAATGTGAATGACAGTGCATGAACTGAGGCCAATCAGATACATTTTAAGAATTCATGAGTTCAGGGGCCGGCCGAGTGGCGCATTGGTTAGGAGTTGGCTTGGGACGCCAGCTCTGACCAGCAGGGCCCCGGTTTGGATCCCACATTAGGGCCAGCGATGCTGCGCCCTCTATAGCTAAGATGGTGAACAATAGCTCAACCTGGAGCTGGGCTGCTGTGAGTTGCCGGTGATGGTGTAGGCTGCAGTGGGGCTGGCCGGCAGTGGGTGTGAGCTTTCATGAGCTGCCCTGAGCCGCCGTCCAATGGCCAGCGAGCAACTGCCTCACCCGGGAAGAGTGCAATGATAATATCAACATGGGCCAGTGAAGCAACATCCTCCACAACTAGACTGAAGAACAAAACGACAGCAACTTGTCTGTTCCCCTTCCCTGATTCCCCAACGCTGTTCCCTCCCCCAATTCCCCAATAAAATCTTAAAAAAAAAAAATTTCATGGGTTCATAAGATACTTTCAAAATGGCCACCACTGGAGATTGCTAGGGTCAGGGTCACAACTTTAAAAATTAATAAAGAGAAAGAACTGAGCATTTATTCTGCCTTTCCTTTGTGAACTATTTTTCAAGGTAACCAAATAGTTGAGGGAAAGTTCTGTATAGAAGAACACACCTTAAAGAACATTAGAAATTACAGAATTAGAAAACTACCACTTGACAATCTTTCAAGAAATAACTGATCTGAGGGAAAATAGTCAATGGATCCTAAAACATAGGGGGAATGGCTGCTGGGGAGCTTTAGAAAATAGAGATGAGGCTGACACGCTAAACCCACTGGTTAATCTCAGCATCACTAAAAGTGTGACAAGCAGACATGGTGTGCCTCCTTATGCCATATGGAAAGAATTACATAGTACACCTATGAAGTGTTTGAATCACTGCAGTTTTCCAGAAGGCACTAACTTCAATTCATTTGTGATTCAGCACTTCATGAAACCGTGTGGGGTGCTGTCCCTGGAAACCTCATTCCAAGACACAAGCATTAACACCAGGTCAGGTGGCATCTTCCTCTTCCCTTTACATGCATGTCTGTGATGACCACAGAGTAACCTCTGACTCTAGTACCTTCTTAAAAGCACTCTTTAAAAAAAAAAAAAAGATTTTATTGGGGAATTGGGGGAGGGGAACAGCACTGGGGAATCAGGGGAAGGGGAACAGACAAGTTGCTGTCGTTTTGTTCTTCAGTCTAGTTGTGGAGGACGTTGCTTCACTGGCCCATGTTGGTATTATCATTGCGCTCTTCCCGGGTGAGGCAGATCGGTCGCCGGCCTCTGGACGGCCGCTCACAGCGGCTCTTGGCAGCTCACACCAGCTGCCAGCCGCTCACGCTGGCTGCCGGCCACTCACAGTAGCTAATGGCAGCCCACTGCAGCAGGGGCTGCAGCCTACGCCATTGCCGGCGACTCACAGCAGCCCAGCTCCAAGTTGAGCTGTTGTTCACCATCTTAGCTGTAGAGGGCAGTGTCACTGGTCCCCATGTGGGATCCGAACTGGGGCCCTGCTGCTTAGAGCTGGCATCCCAAACCAGCTCTTAACCAACGCACCATTTGGCTGGCCCCTTAAAAGCACTCTTTAAAATGCTTGGGTAGAGGGCCAGCGGAGTGGCTCAGTTGGTTAAGAGTTAGCTTAGGAGCGTGAGCTCTGAACAACAGTGTTGCCGGTTCGATTCCCACATGGGCCAGTGAGCTGCGCCTGAGCTGAGCTGCCACCAGGATGGCTCAGCTGGTAAGAGCACGTGCTCCTAACAACAAGATTGCCTATTCAACTCCCGCATGGGATAGTGGGCTATGCCCACCTGCAACTAAGATTGAACACGGCACCTTGAGCTGAGCGGCCACGAGCTGCCGTGAGCTGCCGATGGGCAGCCAGATGGTGACTGGACTTGGAGATGAGCTAGCTGCGCCCTCCACAACTAAGATTCAAGGACAACAACTTGGCTGTTCCCCTTCCCCAATAAAATGTTAAAAAAGAAAAAAAAGGCTTAGGTAGGATATACCCCCAACATCTGTAACCAATGCAGTCATATCCCTGGGATAATTATGAAATCTGGGTTAGATTCCTTTGCTTCCTTGCCTCTCACCCTGATTCTAATTCTCCCAAAATTTTGCCAGGTGGTTTCTATACTCTATAAACATTTAAAACTAGCATTAACACTGAAGACTTTTCAGGATAATGTGTTTTTCCCATCACTACTTTGTAGTTCATAATGAACTCACTGAGAGAATTCCATATCATGTGAGATTATGTAAAGACTTGACTATAAAGCCAACTTCCTTTTTTCTGAGGCATTATTTTTGGGCAAATAGGATAATTTTCAGAATGTTCATTGAATTCATCTTTGAAACAGCTAAAAAGTTGGAAATAATCTAAATGACCAACAATAAAGTCATTATGATATCTGAACAATGGTACTTCAAGAAGCCATAAATAATTATACCAATCTCTGATTACTGGCATACAAAGGTGTTTACAGTATGTCAAGTGTCAGCAAAACAGGCTATAAAACAGGATGTACCGTATGATCCTGTTCTTGTAAAACAGGGTTGTATTACATGAATTTATGTGCGTGAAGCATAAATTGTAAGAACAATGCCTAACACATGGTAAGCAGGTGATAAATACAAGCTTATAGCGGCTAGTGTGGTTCTTACACAGTGACCCTGCTTAGGGGAAGTTTTCTTTACCATTCTCTTTCTAAATCCCTTCCTTTCCTTAATGTCCTAAATATTTACTTTTCCTATACTCCACAAAAAAAGCTTTAAGGTTCCATGAATTCTTCCCTTGGAGAGAAATTTAAAGCAAAATTTTAAAGTGATGTAACTATACTTTTAAATTCTCTCTATAAAGTTCTTGACCTAATGCAAACATTTATATATTGGCCCTAGAATACAGCCACGTTCAACTAAAATAGTATTTGGGGTATGTTAAAACTAAACATTTTGAAATTATTTTGAACTTAAAAGAAGACTTCTCTGAGGTATTTAAATGAAACATATTCTCTAAACCTAGGATATTGTGTTTTTGTATGCTGTCATATACAATGTTAAATTCTGACCCTATCACCATTTACATCTCCCGTCTGTGAACCAAGGAACAAAGGCAGCTGGCCCAAGGTAAAATGTCAAGGGAGACCAAGTCTGTCTTCCAGAAGTCCACCTTTCCATGTGATGCCAGGTTTTTCCCTTCTTTTCTCGCCTCCCATCACGCCCAATAGTTGCCTACCCTTTCCTTTCTGATTCAGGGACCCAGAGCCTCTTGCCTTGTCATCCAAACATCCTCCCAGGAAAGGATCTAATCAACTTTTTATACTGAAAAAAATAACTGATAGGCTTAGTGTGCTATACTTCTCAGGGTTTTTTTTTTTTTTTTCGCATTTCAAACCATGGATAAAGACCTTTGGTTAGAGAAATGAAATTCTAATTGTGAAATTTAAGCTTAAATCATTAAGGAGAATGAGATTTGAAAGAAATAAGAGCTTCCTAGATTATTTAAGATGTTGCCTACCTGGCTAACTTATAACCCATAGCATTATAGACTTATTCTTTTAGGCATGCTGCTAAAAGTTGGCCCATCAGAATTAAATATCAGTTCTATTATCTTCAATATAAATTTAAATGTACTGTAGCAAACAAACAAAAAAACCCTATATGATCATAAGACCACTAGAAAATATTATAAGGGAAAACATCTTAAAATTTTCCAAATAATTATATCTTAGTTATTTTCAACAGTGCAGAGAAGGAGGATGAGAGAAGATGGAAGGATGGGAGAAAAGGAAGGAGCTAAGTGACCTATCCACTGTCAGGCCAAGTGAAGAGCTAGTGTTTGTGCTAAACCAGAGAAACAAACACAGAGCCCACTCTGTTCTCAATCACTCTGAGAGACCCTTCTGCTCTGTGATCTATTGTTGTCACAGATTTTACAGATCTTAGAGGGTTTACACTTTCAAAACATTCTGTTTCAGTGAAAATATACCCTTGATGTTACTTTTTAAGAGCGTGAAAAACATTAAAGGAAAAGCCACACTTACTTGAATGTAATATATGCCCTTTCCTTGAGCATACATCATTAGAAAACAATAATCTAGGTTTTGCTTCGTTCTCCATCTGAAATAAATATTTGCAAAAATAAGTAGGAATCAGACTCAAATTTAGCAAAACAGGATTGGATGTATTATATCTTATAAACTATTATGATACGTAACATACATTATTCTATAGTATGTACATATACTGCATATATACGATATGTATACAATATATATACATGATATATATATATATATATAATATATATATATGATATATATCTAATACACATATAGATATATAGATAAACACACATTCACGATATATCCACTTAGGAGAGAGAGAAAGAGAATTCACTTTTCTCTAATGAAGGCGGTACCAAAATGTATTCCTCCAAACACTAATCCTTAAGATGTCCTGAGAAAAAATGGAGTCTAATGCCAAGTAAGTTTCAGAAGTACAAATATTCCTTCTTGAGACATAACAGTAGTATATTTATTCCAGACATTGAAACATCCAGCAGTAAACACATTTGTTGAAAAAAATTTTTTTAATCCAATATTTTCCAAACTTCCTTGACCACCGACACTTTTTTCAGTAATATCTTAAGTCTCTGGGAACTAGTGCTTCAAAAATTATACTCTGGAGATCACTACTATGGTGCCTAGGACTGTGGTTTAAATACAGGTAGAAATAAAAACATATTGAATGCTTAAAAAGCCCAAAACATCATATTAAAATTTACAATATTGAGTCCTTTCAGTGAATCCTGGTAGTCTATAGAAACACAGTGACTAATGTTGAACAAGAGGAGTGGTTCTAAAAGGCAGTTAAGATTGGGGGAGAAGGGTGGTCACTTTGTGAGGGGTGAAAAGTATAACTATTGAATTGTTTTGTACACATAAAACTAATAATAATAAAAAAAATACTAAAAAAAAATAATAAAAGGCAGTTAAAAAAAGTACAATAAAAGCTTTGACGCATATTAAGTAAACTTCTCCAGAATATAATTCACAGGCCGGTCTGAATTTAATGAGATTACCCAGAACTTTTTTTTTTTTTACCAAATTCAACATGAAATTAAAAAAAAATAAAATTATATTAAGAGACAATTAACCAATTATGTGGACATATCTGTCATTGAGACAAATGAACAACCCGAGAAATACAATAAATCTCTTCCTAAAATACCATTTTTTCCCCTTTTCTCTGGTTACAGAAAATCCAAAACCAATGTCCCTTAGGTTACTTTATTTTTAATAACAACACGAAGTATTTATGTCCTTAAATTTTAGAGATTTAGGGACAAATAAATCTAATTGACTACATGATAACATAATTTTACACAAAAGTATTATTGTTTTTATCACTTGTATTGTGTCAATTCTCATTTATGTTGCATACAGACAAGAGGTTTCTATCTGGACCAACTTCTGAGTTATACTGAATATATTCTTAAGAAAAGTCATAACATCAGAGCAGCAGTTGTAAAAATTGCTGAGTTTACTAAATTCAACCTATCATCAGAAACTCCATAGAATTTCCAATAAAATACCCCAAATTCATTAGCTCTAATTGGCTCAACCCTAAAGTGTGTTAAGCTTTAATAAACAAGAACTATGTTTATCCCACATTATACTCACAAGGATGGGGTAAACAACACAGGCTCACCTTACTCTTTCTTTAGAGTCTCCAAATGTCTCCTTTAAGTTTGTCAAGTCAGGATAATAGCTTGCAGGAGGTGATATTATTTCCACCAAACCAGAGCTGATTTCTTTAGAAAATCTATCACAAGAAAGGTTAGCTAAATTATTTAAATCCTGTGGGATTTTATTTATCTTAATGCTCAACTTACTGTGTTAACACAAAACACATCAGTAAGGTATACTGTTATGGTCACAATGTGTTCAATGAAGCAGTTCATCACTGATTTGCCAGAAAATATAGACTTTTGCAATAGCACAAGGTTGTTGTTTTTTTTTTAAATAATGCTTAAAAAAATAGTGTAAAATGCCACTACCTCTAGAGTAGCATGGAAATCCTAGGCCAACTGTTGATATTACTTTTCTAAAAAGTATAAGAATTTGAACAAATCGAATCAACGTGCCACAGAAAATAGGAATTGAAAAACAGATTGAGTGTATGTGTATGTGTATTCATGCAAAAATCAAAGTTCTTCAATTTTCAGGAAGGTTTAGTTGTGTGTTTTACACTGTATATCATTCTAAACTAGTGTTTCTCAACTGGGAGCCATCATGTACCCGAGGGTACACTGAGCAATGTCTGGAGACATTTATTTGGTTGTCATAACTATGGGCAGCACTGACATCTAGTGGGTAGACACCAGGGATTCTGCTAAACATCCTACAAAGCATGGGACAATCCTCACAACAAAGAATCACCCAGCCCAGGTGTGAACAGTGCCAAGGCTGAGAAACTCTGCTCTGAAGTTTTTAAAATCAGTCTTCACTCACTCAAATGTAATTTTTCTCATTTGCATTCTCCCTTATTTCATTTTCGCAAATCTTCACAAAATGCTCATGCAATTACCTGCCTTCGCACAAATGTTCTTAGTGCTTAACCGCACTTGTTTTCTGGGTGTGGTTTTCCTACACACTGAGGAAGAAGGGAATTAAACAGAATCCTCACTGCATGAGCCCCATAGACCTGCCCAGGTGGCTCACGGGAAGGGGGACCAGTGATGACTGCCCTGGTCCTACATTAAGGAGTCTATACTAAGTTGTGCTTGTATGAAAGCTGCCAAGAAATTGAGCATTTGAGGAAAAATCTAACCGATGCACAGTTTAATACCGAACTATGCATATATTTTTTAAATCTCTGTTTTAGCATTTTGATAGACAAAGATAGAGCCGCATTATTTTAAATCTAGTGTTGGCGAATAATTGTTACTTCTCTTTTGTCTTTTCTTTTTAAGTAAAATATATGTCTTTTGGGGGCAAAAACAGATATCATTCAATAAAGAAACCCACATCAAGACTAAGTTTTATGATGTAACTATTAAAACTACAAAGGCAATATTTTATAAACTAATGATCCCTGAAATTTACTAAGCTTCTTATCTGTTTCCTACCATGTGCCCTGCTCACAGTAAATTGTTACTAAACCATTGCAGAACAGAACAGATTTAGTAACAGTTTAGCACTGAGGTTTGAAACTGCTACATGACTATCTGCTCTGACAGCAGAAAAATTTTTACTTGGTAAACAGAGGGTGAAAGATTTAAGTAATCTCACGACTCTATATTCACTGTTTTCCAGATTAAAGACTGCTATTTGATAATGTTATACATGTGTACCTATAACATTCAAGTCTTTTCTATAATGAAATATATCAATTTAAACCAACAGATAATTGGATAGATATGTGCCTACTTTATGACAATGTAAAAGACCAATTATAGGTGTCAAATGAATACTGAAGTCTACAGAGAAATGAACTATAAAAGAAGGCATTTTCTTTTAGCAGAAAGAGAAGCGATAACAGTAACGATTATTTTCACTTCCATAATTAAGAAGAACTTACTCTTTCTCCAGGTTGGCTATAACACCATGTACATAATCAATATCTGTCTGGGAAAGAAAAAAAATTATACCTACGTTCATTGTTTTTATTTAACTTTTATACTGAACTCAAATAAATGATTGAAACATTCATTGAAAACATTACGTTAAATTTTCAGACAACTTATGGGATTTGCATTTCTGTATTCTACTTTATTGAACCACTACATATCACTGAGTACTTACTAATACAATAAGCAGATAACTAAGTATTAATTATTTTCAATTGTCTATATTTAATTCAATACACAAAAAAATAAGCACAAAAACGATTTCTACTTCTAAAACCATCCAAACTGTAAGTAACAAATAAATTAAAGATGCAGATACTACAGGGAAAGATTTTTCCACTTGAAAACATAAAACCAGGTTCATGATTTGCCTCTGTAGCTACAGGCCTGTATAGAGTAAGTCACTTCTATGAGACTCAGTTTCCTATCCTATTAAATAAAAAAAGGTGGGAGGAAATAGTACCTCAGAGATTATGACATTAAATGATAAAAATGTAATAAAAAGTTTGGTATTATTCTGTATTATCAGGCTGATAATGGGAACCAAAGTCAAGAGCAATTTAACCACGTTTAGAAATAAATGCTTATGAGACTTGTGTACTTTTTAAAATTATGTACATGTGAAGACCCAATGCCGTGATCGATTTTATATGCAGTGACAGCTTATATTAAAATGCTCAACTGTTAAAGAAATCAATGATACATCAAATCTGATCTAGTTATAAAGTCTGCCAAACATAACTTGAAGAAAAACAAACAAAAAAGATAAAGCTTAACCCTGGAAATTACAAAACTTTTTACAAAAAAGAAAACTTCTGGAAAAGTATTTTAACTTTAATATCTGTTAATTGAAAGTAATTCCTATTTTTATTGTTAAATTTAAAGACTTAAGAGTGAGACATCTTATTCAGACCACATCCTTCAAACTCTTCAGAGCTATGGAGATATACCTGGAACACAGCTCAAAACCCTCTGTGCTTCCCTACATAAATGCAAACAGTAGGGGATCTTTTTCAATAAATTATCATCCACATATTTAACCAGCGAGTATGTTACTACTTATCAAGCTCTAATTTTGGAGAACATGATCAAGCCTGGTTTACATAAACTTTAATAAGTTTAGCAACAACCTGACATGCAATTTGATAAGCATTTACTGAGTGTTAGTAACCTGCCTATCCAAGGAAACAGGAATACAAATATGAACAAGACCAGCTCCCTGTCCCCAGCAGGGTCTCCAAGAGAGGAGCCAAGAAGAATCAACTTATGTGAATGTAGACTTATTATGTAATGTGCAATAAAATTTATGCGACGCAAGTGCTCCACATCTAAAACTACACATAATCCTTATCTTGCATGCTAACTGACATAGCTAACAAAAGATTCACTTAAACGACTGTAACTGGTGTCACTTTTATACAACAGAACCGATTCTTTCTGGCATTAGCTGATGGAATTGTTCTGGGCTAAACGTATAACTGGCGCAGAGCACACAGCCAGGCCAATCTGTGTTTCCACTTGCCTTGCTTCTCCCCCAATCTTAAATGTTGGCAAAAAGACAGGCAGTCTCTGACATCTTGGGGCTTGCTTGATTTAAGCTAAGACAGCATATTTTCCTGGGATTTTTTTTTAAAAGGCATGTAGAGACTTTTCAAAAGGTAGTATTATCATCCAATTCTGAAAATGTGTCTGTGAATCTAAAACCAGACCATGTATATTCAAGGATATGTAAACAGTATGCCTGGGACAGGTGGAAAGAGAAGTGGACATACACAGCAATAGAAGAGCATTTTCCCCTGCAGAATCAAGTGTTCTTTATGGTTAAGTAAAGTTAAATGTTTTTATATTAAAACTAGGAGGCACTACTGATACATACTGCAACATGGATTAACCTTGAAAACATTATGTTACGTGAAAGAAGCCAGTCACCAAGGACCACGTGTTATATGATAGCACCAATATAAAATGTCCAGAATAGAAAAATCTATACAGGCAGAAAGTATATTAGTAGTTGCCTAAGGTTGAGGGGAGGGTGGTATTAGTGGGTGATGACTAGGGGTGCAGTTTCTTTTTGGGCATGAAAATGTTCTAAAATTGAGATGATAGCTACACAACTCTGACTTCAAATAGGTGAACTGTATCTTATGTGGAAAAAAAAATTTCTAAGACATAGAATAAAGTTAAATGTAAAATACAAGTATTTCAGATTGTGCATATGGAACTGTGGGAGTACAAGGTCACACAGCTTCCCTTAGAGATATACAAGGTGTGATCAAATAACACAGTGAATGTTTAAATAAAAAAAAATTATTACAGTAAAAGACACATTGCCATTAATTCCCCTCAAAATATGCCCTGTCACGTCCAACACACTTATCTCATCATTCTTGCCACTTTCTAAAGCAGTTCTGGAAGTCCTCTTTCATGTCTAGTTGTGCTATCGTGGCTGCCTCAATGTCCTGAATAATTTTGACTTTGGGGAAGAACCAGATGTCACATGGTGCCAGATCTGGCGAATAAGGTGGATGAAGACACAGCATAATGTTTTTTTTTTTGACAGAAATTGCCGTACCAGAAGCAATGTGTGACATGGAGCCTTGTCATGATGGAGGATGATTTACAGCACACTTTAAAACACACCTTCTTTCAACCATAGCTCACACCCGACTGACTGCACTGACCAAGTTGAAACTTGTCACACACGGTTACTAAGGTTCAACGCACTGCTTTCCAGGATTGAAGACCCCTGCCTTTCCGTTGGATGGCACTCAGCAGCTGCATTCACTGTATGTTTTGATCACAAGGTATCACACATTGCTTCTGGTACGGCATTTCTGCCAAATAAAAACATTACAGTGTGTCTGGCACCGTGTAACTTCTGTTCTTCTCCAAAGTCAAAATGACCATGAGAGGTAAACATTTTGAATCGATTCAGGACATTGAGGCAGCCATGACAGTGCAACTAAAGACACTCATGAATAGAGGACTTCCAGAACTACTTCAGAAAGTGGTAAGGATGGGATAAGTATGTTTGAAGCGAGGGGGAGTACTTTGAGGGGAATAAATGGCGATGTGTCTTTTACTGTAATAAATTTTTTTTATTTAAACATTCACTGTATTGTTTGATCATACTTTGTATAAGGAAAAGCTTAAGAAGCATAAAAGTAGGTTCAAATAAGCCATTAATATTGACAACAATTCACCAATATATTGGGTTGTCGGGAAAGTCATGATGTATTTTGTCTATGTTTTTCAAAGGTCATTTATTTATATAAAGAACAAAGATCAATCAATGATATATTACCCGATTTGTTCGATAACCTTTTGCCATCTTTCAGTGAGCTTCATAGTTCCTCGTTCATAGAAGGACCTGTCTTTATTTGCAAAAAACTGAACAAGGTGCTGATTTACAGCCTCATCTGAATTGAACATTATACCACTCAAGGAGTTTTGAAGAGAGCAAGACAAGTGGAAGTCTGACGGTGCAAGGTCAGGTGAGTATGGTGGGTGTGGCAATACATCCCATCCAAGCTCCAATAATTTTTGAAGGGTGATTAAACTTGTGTGTGGTCTCGCGTTGTTGCGATTGAACACAACTCCTTTACAATTAACAAGCTCTGGATGTTTCTGGATGAGGATTCATTCAAACTGTCCAATTGCTGACAGTACACATTTGAACTGATTGTTTGGTTCCTTGGTAGGAGCTCAAAAAACAAAACACCTTTAAAATTCCACCACACTGAGAGCACAACCTTCCTCTGATGAATGTCGTTTTGATGTCGTTTGAGGAGAATCATCATGTCAGGACCAAGACCGTTTGTGCACCACATTGTTGTCAACAATCCACTTCTTATCACCAGTTATCAGTCGCTTCAGAAAAGGATCATTTTCCTCACGTTTTAAGCATATCACAGATGTTTATACATGCTGTAAAATGAACTTCTTGGAGTTCACGCGGAACCCAAATATGGAGCTTGCTTATGTATCCCAGCTTCTTTAGGAGGTCATGAACGCTTTCGTGATGAATGTTCAATGTTTCTACAAACTCTCGTGTCATGTAATATGGGTTTGACTCGATCAATGCCTTTATTTTGTCATCATCAACCTCGGTGGGCCTCCCTGATGGAGAAGCATCGTTGAGATCAAAATCACCAGCACAGAATTTCGTGTACCATCGTTGGCACTGACGTTCTTGTACAGCATTGTCACCATAAACTTTATGCAACTTTTCACAAGCTTGACGCGCATTCTTCCCTTTATGGAAGTAAAACAGTAAAAGATGGCAAAAATGCACAGTTTGGTCTTCCATCTTCAATTTGTTGTAAAATCTCCAAAACTCAACTGAATTGCTCATTTTTTTTTAGAATGAAGCTAGAACTGTCCTCTGTCAAATGACGTAGCAATAACATAGATGCGAATGACTCTAGTACTTCCAAAAATGACCTAGTGCCATCTGTCACAAACATGCATCATGACTTTTGCGACAACCCAATATGTACTTGGTTTAAGAATCAATTTTGCCAGTATATAAATTAAATGATAGGTATAAATTCCAATCTTTGGTATTTTAAATCAATAATTTATAAAGTCCCATTTGAAAAGAACTACACCTTTGTGAAACATCATGGTAGTCAGAAAACTGCAACAAAGTCAACTGGTTTCAGGGAAACTTTCAATTAAAATCAATATATGACATAACATCATTTCTGAATATGCTATAGCGGCTGTGTTCTATAACACTGCAAAGAGAAAATGTATGAAATAGACATCTGAGTTAAAAGATACTTTTAAAAATAAATTATAGAAATTTCTTTCTAATGGTCCAAAGTATAAAACAGAAAGCTAGAGGCAAGCTCCTATGACAGAAAAATAAATGTTGTAAATGTTAGAGACCTGAAGCTGCTATAAATCAGTTACCCAGATGAAAAGGAGAAAGAAATTTCAAGTACTAGATCAAAGGAGCACACAGAATTAAAATAACTGAATTTTAAATAACTT